TTTATAATTTATATGTATATATATATATATATAATATATATAATATTAATATCATTTTTTTGTTAAAGGTACTAATGATCTTTGAAAATTTCTTTTGAGTTTTAGCTAAAAAATGTATTTGTGACCGTGCGCAATGCGGTTAATAGAGTCAGTGTTTGCTTCGTAATAGTATTTTTAATGTTCTTTAGAATACAAGTGTTAATTTAATTTAATAAAATAGATACTCGCGAAATTAGAATCAGTGTTTGTTCGCCGATAACTAAATGTTAATATTCTTTTATTTATTTTTTTATTTCTTAAATATTCGTTTCGCGTATTAGAGTCAGTGTATTAAGAGAATAAAGTGATCACCATTATCATCATCATTATATCAAAAAGGTAATTATCTTAACATATTTTTCATTAATTTAAAATTTCATTTTTACTTAATTTTTTAAAATAATCATTATATATTCTGTGTTTTAAATTATAATGTTCTATTTTTTGTTACAGTTCTATTTTCTCTTATTTGATGACAATTTCAAGATAATTTCTTATGGGTCATGACAATAGCGATGACAACGCAGATTTTTTGCATCTATTGGTGAGTCGCATGCATTTTATTTCCTCTGGTCATTCAATCATGTCGTAGGATGAAAGATCCGAATCGACACGAGTGGCTAGTTGTATTACGTAGAATTTTGCACGAGCACAGTGACCATGGATATTTATTATATCCATGAATAATAACATTTTTTTTGTGTTTATTTATTAATATAGGATAGGATCTTCTTGCACATCGCGTTATAACATAATTAAATGATTTTTATAATTAATTTATTATTAAGAACAATACATATATTCATATTCATATGTGGTTATAATAAAATATGAATCTTTCAATAAATAATAAAATAAAACTGATTTTATTACAGCAGAAATTCAATCTATTTATAGTATAATGTAATTTATATAATCTATTTTATTAAAATATATAAAATATATTAAAATTTAATATATATTTCGTAAGATTTATTTAATTTCATGTGCAAGAAGATGCCTCGCGACAGGTAGATTTCGGAATTAAAGCAAAAAATTTTGAATATTTTCATGATGTAGAAAATATGTTTTGATAAAGAAATCGCCTGAGGGTTTTTTTTTTATTGATTTTCTATTTACTTAAAATAAACTTAAAATAATTACTTTTATTACAATTTCTTCTTCTTTAATTTCTTAACATTAATATCTTAGTAATTCATTAAAGTAGAATCATTAAAATTTGAGATAAAATCATAATATACAAAATGAAAAAATATTAGTCCGTTAGATACAAAATAATAATA